TTGTTGCAATAGAGTGACATACTCAACTGTAAATCCCAATTCACTTAACAAGTTCTTAATCCATAGAGCTTTTGCAACACCATGGGACATGGCCCTATATTTTGCCTTGGCATTAGATCTGGTCACAACTCTTTGTTTATTACTTCGCCAAGTAACAATATTTCCTCCCACAAAGGTACAATAGTCACTAGTGGATTTTCTATCATCCATTAACCAACCTAGTTAGTATTCGTATAGACTTCGACTTTCATATGCCCATGCTTCTTGAAGAGGAGCCATGTTCTTGGGAATTGCTTTAGATATCTGAGCACTCTCTCTGTTGCCTCTAGGTGAGTAGTCTTAGGTAGGGGTGCCTAACCGTGGGCACTTTTTTGAAACCGAACTAGTACCACCGGTTTTTGAAATTCTCTAAATCGAAATCGAACTGAATCAATTGGTTAACTAGTTGACCGGTTTCGGTTTTTGATTGGTTCAGTTCTTTGGTTTTCGATTTTTTAAGAGTAGAGAAATGTAAAGGAGAGTGAAAAAAAAAGAACAAAAAGTTACTAAAATAAACAAAAAAAATTCTATTTCTTCACTTTTAGATCATCGTTGAAAAATATGGATCAAAAAAATATAGTACCAAATACTATACATGAATCAAAGAGTGAACAACCTAACAAGTCCTCTTTTGATTCTTCTTGTAGCTCAACTTTGGAAAAAACTGTAACTTTCTTGTGAATGGCATACAACGTACATGTTAGTATCTTCAAACAATCCCACTAGTTGAAGTTTGAGCGATCTCACAAACCAGTCAAAGGAGAAAAAGCTTTTAGATCAAGAGCTTGGTGCTCTTAATCGTACCTTTTAATTTCCTTGAGAGCCATAGTTCCAAGCCTGAATGTATGGCTATATGGGGATTCTTCACTCTTTTCGTTGTTGCCTCGCCAGAACCATGAGCTTTTGTGATAGAGACATGAGAGTTTGCTCCATAAATTAGAAATAGATATGTTGTGTTTGATAGAGTGGCAAATGACAAAGAAAAGCTAATTAACTTTTTTTTTAGATTGTTTAGGTGTGACAGGTTGGCGGTCTATGAAGTGGTATGATAGCCTATGAGGCTATGAATTGCTATGATAGTCTAGTGTAGAGTGTAGTTGTAGGTACGATGACGCATTGGAGTAAATGTGTATGTCAGACACTTTTAACATTAGGCGGGAATAGATTTTGGAAGTAAATATTTATACATATAATTGGTAAAAACATATACATATTATATATGCCGGTCGGTTCGGTTAACCATCGATTTTTTTCTAGGTTAACTGAAATCGAACCGAAAATCTATTTTTTACAAAAATCTAAACCGAAGTCGAACCAATTTGTTCGGTTTGGCTTGGTTTTTCGTTTTTTTCATGAACACCCCTAGCCTTAGGTGCATGCATAAACTAAGAACACTCACAACATAAGCAATGTCGGGTCGAGTCATAGATAAGTATAAGAGCCTCCCTACAAGCCTTTGGTATTGTTTAACATCTTTTATAGGTTTCCCTTGATAGCCACCAAGCTTATGATTCACATCTATAGGGGTGTTAGTTGGTTTTGCCCCTAACTTCCTTGTATCCCTTAAGAGATCTAGGTTATACTTCCTTTGGGAAATGAGGATCCCTTGTTGTGAGTGGGAAACTTCAATTCCAAGAAAGTAATGTAATGGATTTAGATCCTTCACTTCAAATTGTGACCAAGAACTTTAGTTTTTGTATCTTTGATGTCCAATCACTAGTAATGACTATGTCATCTACATAGACTATCACGGACTTTAGGAGCTTCAACCAAGGAGTTTAGGAGCCCAACTACTGGCTGCGGAGATCTAAGTTTCTTTGTACTCTTGGTTTTGGGCTTTATTGGAAAGGCCCTTTGTAATTTGTATGCTGTTTTCTTCATCAATAAAAGTTAGCTTACCTTTTTCCAAAAAAAAAAAAAAACTATCACGACAATAGTTTTCCCTTGCTTCTTCTTCACAAAGAGGGTATGGTCAGTTTGGCACTATTTGAATCCCATATGCTACACAACTAAATGGAATATGTTGAATCAACTCCTTGGAGACTGTTTTAGGCCATACAAAGACTTCTTCAATCTGCAAACTTTCTTTTGACTGCCTTCAACACAAAAACCAAGTTGTTGGACCATGTAGACCTCTTCCACCAAATCACCATTTAAAAAAAGCATTCTTGATATCTAACTTATGAAGTTCCGAATCCATATTTGCAGCCAAAGAAAGTAAAACCCTAATGGAGTTCATCTTTGCTACTAGAACAAAAGTCTTCACATAGTCTACTCCATACACATGTGTAAACCCCTTAGCAACCAACTGGGCTTTATACCTTTTTACTATGCAATTTGCTTTGTGTTTCACAGAGAACACCCATTTGCATTCAACTGGTTCCTTTCTTTCAGGAAGATCCACCAACTCCCACGTACCATTTTTATGTAAGGCATTTATCTCTTCTTTCATTGCATCTGTCCATTTAGGAACTAATAAAGCCCCGCAACACTCTTCGGAAGAGCAACACTGTTAACAACTGAAAGGAAAGCACAAAACAAGGGTGAGATTTTCTCATAAGACAAAAAATGGGCCATGGGATGGTGAGTGGTACATGATCTAACGCCTTTCCTCTTTGCAATAGGAAGGTCCAAATCACAACCAAAGGTGTCAATGTTAATAGATTCAAGAATATCAATAGCAATTATAGTACCTGGATGGGAGGGATTTGTTCCTTGAGAATTCGATGGCGTTGGTTAGCTTTAGGAGCTAGGCTATTCCACGACCCTTGAACTCTGTTGGCCCTGGCCTTTCTAATGTTGAAGAAAGACAGAATGGAGGAGGGTCAGGAAGAGGAAGTAAGAGAACTTGTTTCTCAACCTTTCTCTCCCCTTGAGGAGGAACCAAAAATAAAGGCTTGTTCTCAAAGAAAGATACATCCATGGAAGTGAAGTATTTCATGAACCCTAGGTCAAAACATTGATATCCCTTCTGAGATAAGGGATAACCAAGAAAAACACAAGGAATTGCTTTTGGATTAAGTTTGCCACGAGTATGAGACAATTTATGGACAAAACACCAACAACCAAAGACACGCATGGATAGGAAATGTGGAGCCTTATATTCCAACAACTGAGATGGCATACGGTTTATAATGTAGGCAACCAATAACAACATCAATCCAAAACCTCTCCAATACATGCATATGTAAGAGCATCCCCCTAGCAACTTTAAGGAGATGATGATTCTTCCTTTCTGCAACCCTATTCTGTTGAGGAGTTTTGGCACATGAGCAATGGTGGAGAGAACCACGAGAAGCAAAGAATTCTGTAAGACTGCCATAGAAGTACTCCTTTGCATTATTAGATTGGAAAACTTGGATTCCAGTTTGAAGCTATATAAATATCATGTGCTGAAAATCGTGTACAAGTTTTAGAACTTCTTCCCCGGAATGCATAGGATAGACCCAGGTGTATCTGGAGAAATCATCAATGAATGTGATAAAGTAGTTGTATCACACTTACAGGTCATACAGACCATCCTTGGATTACTTAGGCCACACGATTACCAAGAAATTACTGCAGTGCAGTCTACTGACACAACCAGGTCACTCATGACCTGCAAGGGTGCACACCCACTTTGATTTGGATCCCTGGATCCACAAAAGAGACCAAAACTCCTCTACACCATTCAGCTACCACAGAACTGAATCTGTTCTTAGTGTTTCTATCAAGAACTAAATTAAAAAACCATAAAGAAGCTGTTCTAGACCAGTCTGATCTGTAACTGTAATTCCCCAGTCCAGAAAAGGTAAGATAGAATAGAGAACTGATTTGAGTCTCCTTTAATCCTTCCAGAGTAAATATCTACGGCAGTCTAGTGTTGATTGTAGGAGCTCCAGGCAGGATGGAGGAAGAGAAAGCAAGCATAGGGTATTCAGACCTGTTCGATTGCTGTCTATTCTAGTTTCATTCTAGAAAATGAAGAGGGCAAGTCACGATCAGCAAGGAAAAACTAGATTCCAACTTCCTGCTCTGATACCATCTTGTTGTGGTGAGGAAAAAATAAAAGAAAAGAGGAGAAAGAGAGGAGAAGAGAAGAGAAAGGGGGAAGAGAGAAAAGATTGAGAGAGGCCAGAAGATTAGGCTGGTTGCGCTAGCTATATTATTTATATGTAGGACGATGATTACAAAAGAAATAAATAGACTAAAGTTTCCCTGTGGCACCTAAACCGGGAATTACATGATTATCCTTTTTGGATTACAAAGATGCCAGCCCAATATATAAGAAAAAAGTTGTGGAGGAACTGGAAAGTAATTTCTGTTAAATTACAAAGTGTTATTTTCTTTAGGTGGAAAGCCGAAATTTATTTTTGGTGGGTGGATTTTTGGATTTTCTTGCACATTTTGGATCATCATGCTCAATCTCAAGTTTTCTTGGAATTATGGCATGTTCTCTGTTTATTTATAGGCCCATCTAGCATGAGTCTTCATGTTGTCTTACCTTGCACTTGAAATAGAAGTGGTTTTGGAGTTTGAGATCCTTTGGGATGGCTTATTCTAGATGTGATAGTTGCCATCATGGATAACTGGTTTTGTTTTAGTTTTGTTCTTTGAAGGGTGAAGCAGTTCTGCTATCAGTCTTGGTCCTCTTGGATCCATGTAAAGATTATATAACAAACTTTATGATGGCTTGCAACCAAAAATCTAGAAGACCTTTTCAGTTCTAATGGTCAGAAAGTATGTGACCAGTATGGGCTGAAAGGTTACTGCCATAAGGGGGGAGGGGGGTTGCGTGGTGATTGGTTCAGGGATCACGTCTCTTTATTTGCTGTCCTTTAAGTAATTCTAATAGGATTTAGATGGTGGATTCTTGTGTTGTACACAAGACCTCATCTTTTCAGTTCTGTGTTTCCTTGGAATTTATGCTAGCTAGACCAATTTATGTTTTTATCACTATAAATTGTAAGAATTTATTGCAGGTGAGGTTGTTCTTATCCGAGGATTCTCCTTCACAAGTTGGAATTGGAGCTCAAGATCACCTCCAAGCTAAGACATCATGGCTGCTGCACTCAACTGGGATGAACTCTGATGACCAACTTCCTCCTGGGTTTGAAGGAGCTCATCCTGCTAACCAGTTGAAGAAAGAATTATCCCAGATCCCTCTTGTCAAATGGAAATGTCCTCCCAAAGTAAGCCAGTCTTTGATGTCGATTGCCATCTTCACAATTTGTGGCAAAGTTTTATGTGCTTAACTTGTTTTTGTTCCTGTGGTAAAAGTTGATACAAAGACTGAATTGCAATGTTTAATATAAAATTCTCTTTGCTTCTCTAATTGCACAGTTTATGTTGAATCCCAATTGGCAAGTGGTGGCTGGAGAAGAAAGCAAAGAGGCAGAGGTTCAAAATCAGCGAGAAATGCGAGTACTTGAAGCAGTTTATCCTCGCCCTTCTTCCATTCCTCCAAGGTGCCATGTCTTTCTTTCTTACCTCTTTGCGAGCTTCTCTATTTGTGGTTATGTGGTTCATTTCTCAAGCTATGTTTCATTTGTTCATCTCTGTACAGTCCCTCCGTTTCAGCGGACATAGAAAACTATAGTCAGGATGATAATGAAGTTCTTCTTATTCCCATTATACCTATTGAGGATGAAGATGCAGCTGATCAATCGTCCAATTCTGTGGTTCCAACTACCACTCCCATTAGTGTGCAGCAGCCAGTTTTTCCACAAGGTTTGTTGGTTCCTGGATCCGTGCACTCCTCTAAATGCAACTTACCTGTTTCTCCAAAGCCTATGGCCAATGAAAAACCTGCTTCTATGACTGTTCCTGGTGTAGAACCCGATGTAGTTGCTGCGGCCTCTGCAGCATTTACTTCTATCATGCGGAGTAACGAGCAGGGAAGTTTGATTGATCATGAATTGCTCGTTAAAATATTGAGTAACCCAAAACTGATCGAGAAGTTGGTCACAGATCATGGAAAACCCCTCAATCCACAAATGGCAGTGAAGCCGAGATCACCACCAGTGACCCCATCCGTCCCACAGGCATCTCCACATTCTGTCCATATTAGCAGGATAGAATCTGAAGTGCCCTTTTCAACAGCTCCTGCAACAGGGAGCTTCTATCCTGCGACAACTGCAGTAGTAGCCAACTTGAATTCACGGCCGCCCCCTTCTGGAGTTATTCCCATCTCTAATACTGTTCCAAAAGTGCCTCCTGTGAAAGATTTAAATTATTATAAAAACCTGATTCAACAACATGGAGGAGAAAGACAAGATGTTCAGGAACCCACCCTTCCTCATTTTGGTAACCGTCATAACCACCATAGTTTGGGTGCAAACCAAGAACCAATACAGAGCACAAAACCAAGGGAATCAAAACCCAAGATCCCAAAACCATGTATCTACTTCAACAGCTCAAGGGGATGTCGGCACGGGGCCAATTGTGCTTATCAGCATGATTCCTCGCTTCAGCAAAGAACCAGCAGCGTGCAGGAGACACAAAGTGCCAAAAGAATGAAATTGGACAGGGAAATAACAGGAAGGTCGTAATGAGTGCCGTTGAGAGTTGCTGCATGTAATTATTTCCAGAGGAATTTTAACGATACCAGGGCATCTTACTTTAAACATTCATTTCTCAGTAAATAGAATCCATCCTTCTTTCACTGGTTTTTCCTCGGTTGCAATGTCAGCCAGGGGTGCAACTCGGATAGGTCAGGTTGGGTTGAAGGCACTCAAGCCCAACTCTAAAGGTGCAAACCTCAGGCACGACAAGGCTGGCCCAATCCAAGTTTAACAGGTTGGGTAAGGCCAGTTTTGGTCAGTCTTTGGGTAGGTTGGGTGGGCCTGAAATATAATATGAATTTGTTTGGACAGGCTTGGGTTATTGATCTCAAATCAAATCCAATCCAAGTTTATGTCAGGCCCAAGTTTCTAACCCAGGCCTAGTCCACAACCCGAAAACTTAGGCCCAATCCATGCAAAACATTTGGGTTGGGTCAGGTCAGCCTCCGATTAGTCTCACCCAAGGTGCATTCCTAATAATATCAGCCTCTATTGGGAGTTTTTTCTTGCTTGTATTTCTCATGATATGGTTCTCTCTTCATTAATGGAGACGGTAATGAAACAAGAGCTCTGGCCTTCTGGAAGCATCGAGATGTTGGATGTTCACAGACTTGAATTTAATGCTCTTGTCTCGGAGTCTCAGGCGGCCCAAGATGTTGGATGGACCATGGTCTCAAGTAATGAACTAATGATGCTGCTCCGACAGATTCATACAAAGGAAAAGAGTTGCTGCCTACCGTGGCCGCAGCACTTAAAAGACTTTCTTGGACAATGGTGAATTATGACGAACTTGGACGAGGTACCACCCGATATTCTCTCCAAATTTCTTAGCTGAGAGCCCATGCTGAATTGACTAAAGCCCCGTTTCAGAGGGCTGAAGTACAATGGCTATTGGCTTTTTGAGGTGGACTTTTCGTGGACAGCCTAAGGATCAAAAGTCACCATAGAGACGTATCAAAATGCCAATACAAAAGGGGTATGGGAGCTTTGAAAATTTGGTGAGGTTGCGGGGCCCTTATAGTTTGTTAATACCATAAATAAATAAAAGCTGATTATCGGCTTGTATCAATACACTGATACACAAAGTCCATACACGAGTTGATATTTTGATCCTTGGGACAGCCTACAAGCTATGTTTATTGAAACATCCAGGCAGCCCAAATTGGCTGTCAGTCGTTTAAAGGCCTGTCCACTTCAACTTCTTTGAAAAGCTTATGAGGAGCATTTCAAAGCAGCTGAACCAGCTAGTTTGGTGAGTCTGGATCTGGCACCCATAAGCCTATTCACAAGACACTATAGAAGAACATTTGAATATCTAAGGCTCCGTTTGGTGTGTCTTTCTGTGAAGTCTGTCGGCTGTTTACAAGCTCAGCAGACTACAATTCGGTCTTTTTTCGTTTGGTTTGCGGTAAGTTTAGCCACAAAAGGCTGATGCGCCAAACAGACGCAAGAAGCCTAAAACGGGTGATTTTTGGGATACTCCAAATGGAGTTTTTGCATTTTTTTCTATTTGCCTTCAGACAAAAAGATGCATGGAAAGGCATGCCTTAACCAAACGAACTTCAGGCTGCTCATATCTTAATGCAAAAGCTCAATGCATCTTTTGATTGTCAAAGCTACTAGAAGATCTTCCCAAAAAGACTTGTCAAACGACCCCTAAGTTATCATTCATAGGGAGATGTTCTTGGTGCATGGATGTAGTGTCCTATGGATGTGTATTTGTACGTAGATCTTGAGTTTGGCTATAGACATCCTATGTATGAAAGAAAGGATTGAAAAAATAAAGTTACTGCTAATCTTGGCCAACTCATACATAGGCCATATTTGGGAGTGCTTAAAAATAAGTGCTTATTTGGGCTAGGACCACACCATTAAGCACTTATTGGTTTTAGGGAAAAAAAGCCCGAAATAAGTGCTTATTTTAAAAATAGTGGCTTATTTTTTAAGCTCAAATTTCTAGATTTATTAAGTGCTTATACAATAAGCACTTATTCAATTTTTTTTTTTTTTGTTTCAAAATTATCCCTAGTTGAATTTTAAAATACCACTTATAAAATTATCCCTAGTTGAATTTTATAAAATTATTTTCATAAAAATGCTTTTGTAAATGTACTTCTATAAAATTACTTCTGTAAGCACTTTTATAAAAGTACTTTTATGAAAGCACTTTTGTAAAAGTGTTTTCGTAAAAGAACTTTTATAAAATTGCTTTTATAAAAGTGTTATCGTAAAAGTGCTTTCATAAAAGTACTTTCGCAAAAGTGCTTTTACATAAGTACTTTTATAAAGGTACTTTCGTAAAAGTAATTTTATAAAAGTGCTTTTATAAAAGTTCTTTCATAAAAAAGTGCTTTTATAAAAGTTCTTTCATAAAAAAGTACTTTTATAAAAGTGTTTTCATAAAATTTGGAAGAAAATGAAGGATAAAATAGTCACAAATGCTTATTTAAGTGCTTATTGGAGAAAAAGACTACTAAACACCCAATGTGAAACAAATGCTTATTTTTTAATATAAGCACTTGAAAAAGTTAGGTGCCAAATGCAAATAAGTGCTAATGTGAATAACCACTTATTTTTAAGCACTTATTTTTAACATAAACACTCCCAAACATGACTGTAAAAGAGTTTCTACTCTATAACAATGTTCAGTATAAAAAATGCAAATAATATTTGAATAAAATTTTAGGAGATGTACCATGATATAGTTTGGTCAAGGTTTTAAAAAGTTAAAGGCGGAGGCGAGGAGGTTGGGTGTTAGGCGGTCACTTTCTAGTTGGCAGTTAAATTCATCTTTAAGGAATCCAATTTGACCCAAGAATGACAAGGAGGCCAAAATTCCATTGATTTCATAATGAAAAGCCTCCATTGCTCCTACAAATACTTCTTATCCATCTGATTGCACTGGTTGAAGAATTTTTGGGATCAATGTTGGATAAACAACATTGATCTTGTATCAATTGTATAGACAATTTACAAGTAAGGAATTTCATCTCTTGTTTAAAATGGTATCATCTGTTCTTTCTTTTTTTTTTTAATTCTAGAAACTAATAAACTATTAATCGGATATTTGTGAAGCCTTAAGCTTCTCTATGTTGCATCCAAATCCAGATTTTCTAAAATCACTCCCTTGATTATGATGCAAATCAAGCTTCTCTATTAGAGCATTGAAGATCTCCTATTCTAGTCTAAACCTTGCAACCTGGCAAGATTAGATGTTATAGTTAGTGGATGATAATCATTTATGTGTAAATATTTAACTGGTAGATTTTAATTCAGAATTGATGTATAACAAAAACCCCATGCCACCTTCTTTATGTAGTTAATAGGTAAGTTAATGCAGACTATATGGCAACATAGGCTGACAGTTCAGACCTTGCAACAAATTCTTTTTTCAAGTCTAAGTTAGTGATGAATTCCCTGTTGTTAAAACTACACACAATTCTTTTGCTTTTGATCTAATTTTCAAAGCAATATAAGGTCAAAATTTTGCAAGCCATGAAATGGCTTCTTGTTCTTGCCTATTGAACTGGTTCAACAGATGTAAATTACTAATGTAAAAGCAAATGAACTATATACAATTTCAAAGCCACTAGATGAAGTTGGTAATATTTAGGTGATATAGGAAAGGGTAAATTATAGATAGGAGGTACACTGTACTCTGGGGATAGTGACAAATAGATACTTGAACTTTCAATTGCAACACTTGAGTACCCAAAACTTTCAAAAATACACACTTAGTTCCATCCGTTAATATTCTGTTAGGTAAACATTACATAACGTCCAAATACCCTTCTTGTATATTTCTGAGATCATTCTCAAGTAACTGAATGTCTCCCCATGGTGACGTTCTCACATGGACAGTAAATTACATATTCAAATTTTCCGACGATGGCATTCTTTGGTGATGATTTTATTCCACATAATGATCTTAAAAATACATGAGAAGGGTATTTTTAAAATTATGTAATGTTTAATTGATGGAATACTAACAAATGGACCCAAGTGTCTATTTTTGAGAGTTCAAGGTACTCAAGTGTTGCAATTGAAAATTCAAGGTACTTATCTGTTACTAACCCCAAAGTACAGGATACTTACATGTAATTTACCCTATAGGAAAATATGAACTATACCTATATGATGATCTCTTTTGGGGGTCTAGGCCATTGTTGTGCTGTAAGAGAATGAACTTTAATTTAGAGATGCAGGACTAGAGACTCTAAATGTTATATGACTAATATTCTTGTTAATAATAGGAGAAAAATGAAGTATGAATGAACAAACAATAATCTCTGTGGTTAGGGGTGAGCATTCAGTTTATTTGGTTAAAAACTGAATTGAAACTGAATTATAGAAAAACTAAAATAACCGAAACCAAAATTTTCAGTTTGGTTTTCAGTTAAAACCAAATTTTAATAATATATACTCTATTATATATATTATAACATATAATATATTATATTATATATATATATATATATAGAAAATTTGATTAATTCGGTAAAATAACCGAAACCAAAATTTTCAGTTTGGTTTTCAGTTAAAACCAAATTTTAATAATATATACTCTATTATATATATTATAACATATAATATATTATATGTTATAAAATATATATTATGAAATCAATTTTCATTTTATTATATATTAATATATAAGCATATAATATATTATATTATATATATATATAGAAAATTTGATTAATTCGGTTGACTGAATTTTTAATTCTAAAAACCAAAATTGAAAACCAAATTAACCAAAAACCGAATTAAATGAAATGATTTAACAAAAAATATAAAAAAAAAAAAACAAACCAAAATTTTTGGTTTAGTTTTTCAGTTTTAACTGAATAGTGCTCACCCCTACCTATGGTTCTGTTTGGGCATAAAGACCTACTTCCTCTGGGAGCAATAAAATGAAGTTATATGTTTTAGAGTTGAGGCAAGTTCAACCAAATAGAAACAATAAATGAGTTTATCCAAAGCAAGTGCATATTTGATGCAAGGCGAGGGTTGGATCCATGTGGATTTGAGATCAGTATTTATCCCTCCACATGTACAAGTGTAAGATATTTTGAGATGTATCAGTGTTTAATCTAACTTT